ACGTCGGAGCGGTTCGATTCCGCCTTCCCGGCGATCGCAAACTTATGCAACCGCCAAACAAATCTCCGTCTGAGACCAAGCCGTTCCACCTCTGTGACTATGTTTATGCTTTAACACTTTGTTCGTCCGACCTCGCCTCTCACCTTGACACGGGCAGCCATAGACGGTCCGCAGGATCATCGAATGTCTCCGTTCTTCTATACTCCAAAGCGGCATGCATGCATGCACCGGGACGTCACCAACCGAACGAAGTGATAAAGCATAAACACAGTCACAGAGGTGGAACGGTGTGGCAGCCGAACGACTTGGTCTCAGACGGAGATTTGTTTGGCGGTTGCATAAGTTTGCGATCGCCGGGAAGGCGGAATCGAACCGCTCCGACGTCAATCGGCTACAGGTTTGAAGCCTGCACCCCGGACCACCGAGGTTCATCCCGGCGGTCTGCACGATTCACTTAGTTCTACATAGAACCAAAATGTGCATTTTCCACACAAAAACTTAATTTGAATCCGATCACATAATCTCTTAATATATACACCCTTATCCACTAGCTCGCACTATATGCATCCTGCAATGTTGCCGGGTTTAACTATATCTCTCATCAATATCTCGAAATGGGTATTTTTCTCTTTTTTCGTAATAAGTAGTATCGCTCACATGCTTCCGTTTTCCCTGTTAGGATTGACATCAAAAAATTGAACAGCATAAATTACTCATAGCACATCGTAACACAAAGTAGAGTAGACCACTGTTTTACTCTATTGCACCTCATCGGTTTTACGCTTAGTACTCACATTGATCATCTTCCAGTTATTCGCGCTATGGCTACCCTTTGCATGTTGCTTCGACCCACACTGCGCGGGTGACACGCTTTGGATTTGCTTGTGTAACGCGTCGGTACAGTCTCACACCGCGTACGAGAAGCCAATACACATCACAGTTCACCGTGATGAATATTCTTGTGTCTGTGCAACGGCTTGCTGGGTAGTCGGCGTGTGAGAAACTCTATCGGTACGGCTCCCATCGACTACAGGAAATAACTACGTCACAATCCATCGTTGACATTCGACCGACTTCGTATCAGTGTTTTTGGTAGTTCATTGTACTCAACTGTGTATAAATTTACGCCAAAATCGTAGACAAATTGATCTTACCATGACTAAGATTGGCCTTCTGGCACATGCACTGGGGCTAACAGAATTTGACCCATGAAACCTACGCGCACAAACACGCATCCTTCACTGCGGACATAGGTATAACCATCCATTTAACCGTGTTCTCAACCACCCCCTACCGAACATCATCGAACAAACAACCAACCTGCATTCTCTATCACTCGACACCTTCATTATAGCGTATCATGCTGCGGATCCGACCAACCTATTTAGAGTTATTCGCTACCATCAATACCGCGGGCTTCTCCCTTTCTCGGAACCTGTTGCAATTAAAATACGTTCACCTGGTCTGTGTGCAAAAATATCCGTCAGTGGTTAAATGTGTGTGATTTCTCGGCTCTGTCATATTCGTGTGTAACTGATATGCTTTTCAACGATATAATTTGTTGTTTTCTGTCGCATTATACCAGCTGAGGCGCAGCGAAATCTGTCTTGACCTAAACCGTGCAACCTAGCTTTATTGTGTGCTCTCCACGTTTATTTTGGGAAATAAATGCTTCAATTATGTATGCGTATTATGAATTCCAAAGAGATCACAATCTAGACTTTCATCGTTCTCAATCTATAATTTTCCATTCGTTCGTTGGTCCTCACATGTCTAATACTCCATTTAGACACCGTGGTGTCTTTCAACGGGTCTCAGCAAGGCGCAACTGTTTGCAGCCGCGCGATAGTGACCGGATGATTCCAACTGTCAAACAAACAATTTAACTACCTTGATCTCACAACACAGTGTGCAAAAATCTGGACGCATCACAACAACGAAAGGGATTATTACAGTTAATTAAGGAGTGACCAGTTTCACTCGTCCTGCCAACATCTCATCAAATTCGTGTCGACCTGCGACACCTGAATCCGGTACAAGCGTGTATACTCTCGTATAGCCACACATTAGTTGTCGGTGATCCTACGTTTCACAAGCATCCTTCGCCACTGTCATTGAAAAGTTCAAATAGGCTTTATTTGAATTGATGGCCCAGAGTGCTCCTATTTAACCAACAACAACCGCTTTTGTACTGCTGATCTGATTTTTTTAATGACACTTTCGTGTGAATAGTAGACGGGGTAAACTCCATAGTCACGAGGACCTGCTGTTTAGTGATGGAAACCGGTAACTCAAGCCCCGGGACTTGGATTGGTGAACCACATAAGGGCCGATAGGCTAGGCGTGGTATTGAACCGGACGACAGCAAAGCTGCCTACCACCAAAGTTGGGTGGCATGAAGTGACTGACGAAAACTCGTTCCAATGAGCTTAGAGGAAAGCGCCGAAAATTTATTCCCGGAACTGCATGCATCCGGTGAGAAATTGACCACACTTTTATCTACATGGTTTGACAGTGTTGAATGAGGATAAAGCCAAGTTTCAACCGATTCTGTGGTTTGAGTACTAGCCTTTAGCATGCATTTTACACGCAGAAAATGTAAACCATTAATTCTTTTAGAATTGGAATCATTCTAATCCAAGCCTTCATTGGAATTGGGGAGGCTACCACATATTCCGTCGCCCAAATACTGGATGAAGAGTAGTTGAGCGACGAGGTGAATTGATCAATGATTGCCAACTTCATACGTATATGTGATATTGAAGACGATTCAACTTTGCGCTCANCAAAGCCGTGACATAACGGTTGTGGCCGCGACGGTGGTTGCTCCATCCAGAGGGTATTTTTAATACCTTGGGTGAAAGCCTTCTCTCCTTTTGTCATCTGTTCGTACCCTTAGCCGTAAATCAGCTGTCTGCGTGTTTTTAGCCACTTGTACTTTCTACTTCACTAATTGACCTTACCTACAACTTCAGCTGGGTGACTCTTTGGTTCATCGCCCCTGACTGAATCGTTTCCCCGTACGAAGTACAAGACACTTCAAATTCTATAAGTTCTGCACTAAAGTAGGGATTCAGACTAGTTAACAGACTGGACGAATCATCAAAACATGGTGGAGAAACAAACCCCTTCGATTCGAGCTAAAGTACAACTCAACTTTACCGCAGCCGGATTACAAGCTTCCATTGGGATTTAAATTTTATGCAAAGCACATGTGTACGAAAACCAAGTTCGCGAGGGAGGGAGAAAACTGTGCCATCTTTCAAAATAGAACTGTTGTATATGAAATCCAAAGAACATCCATTTTCAGGACAAAACATCTATAAATGTGCCTTTCTGGAGAGACATCAATAGTACTGGGCAATTTGTTTGCTCATACAAAACAAAAACATTCTGTAAATATAGATTACTGAGTATAATAAGCTACAAGCAGATCGGTGGGGATAAAGACGGGGAAAAAGCGGCCGACAAAATTAGTTCTTCAAGCTGCGCCGTGCCGCACGCAAATACTTCTGTTCCATGGAAAGATTGAAGGCACTCTGTGGCAGAAAAGAGAAATAGAATATTTGCAACGCATGAATCCAATGTCCGTATGTTAGGGTTTCCACTCCCAATTGGTTCAGGGCGCTGCGTACATACTCCCGCGGATCGAGGACAAAAAATCCTCGTCGACGTCCGACCATTGAAGTGGCCACGTACATTGGGCACACAGTCTGTACTATCACATTTCGGTCGTTCAGTTCGACCGCCAATGAATTGGACAAATGCCGATCGAACGCTTTGGTTCCACTGTACAGGGTCAGGTAGGGCAATGGGTTGCAACCACTGAATGAGGACAAATTGATCACCGCTGCGCCGGAATTTTGTTCCACCAATCTCGGCAAAACTATATGTATCATGGAGGCCATCGAGATACAATTACAAGACACAAAGCGTTCGATATCCCGTAGAGACATTTCATCAGCAAAAGGAAAACTGAGTGGATTCACATTGACCATGCCCACATTATTGACCAAACAAGCGATTGATGGGAGCTGATCAACTTCCTTCTTGATTCCCTCGTAAATGTCAAGCTGAAACAGGAAGAACAATTCGATTTCACGAGGCTAGGTTGGAGCCGCATGGCACAAACCAATGACACGATAGACAGAACATGAGAAACACTCACTTGTGTAAAGTCCGCCTGGACAGTTTTGACTTGCACGTTGTACTTCTCTTGCAATTCCTTCGCAAATTCATCCAATTTTTGTTGGGAACGACTAATAATCATAACATTCAAACCGTCCGAGGCCAATTCCTCAGCATAGGCTTTCCCGATCCCAGCAGTAGCACCGGTCACGATAGCCCATTCACCGGCTTTTCGTAAGTGATTCCGTTTGGAATACCATTTACGTCCGAGGGTGTATCGGAAAACAATTAGCAGAAACGGAATTACAATTTTCCAGAAAAACAAAACCGGGATAATCCAAGATATCCATGAGTACATGGTCTGCAGAAAGAAAGCGAAAAATAAAGAACCATGAAATTCGAACAAGCGTATAATATGATATGTGCAACAATGATAGATGCAAGCTTTTCTGGATAGCTTGAATGCCAGTGTAGCCATATTTCGGTATGCGTTTTGCACCTCCACAGTGTAACATGTTACTACGAGACGGGGTTGGTCCAGCACCCAACCTCACTCTAGCTGGAGAAGTAATGGAGCAAGGGGATAAGTTTTGTTATTTGGGTAGCTATATCACGGATGAAGTGTCAGCTCACATACAGAAGGCTCGGTTGGCATTTGCCAACTTGAGACATCTGTGGCGCCGTCGCGACATCCGGCTGTCTGTGAAGGGTCGAGTGTATGACGCGACAGTTCGGCTAGTCCTGCCATACGGTGCAGAAACTTGGCCATTAAGAAAACAGGATAAAGACAGACTGTCGGTGTTTGAACACCGCTGTCTATGCAGCATTGCACGAATCTGGTGGGGTAGCCGGATGAGCAATGCTGAGGTTAGGGAGAGAGTTTTGGGTATCCGCGGTCGCCCACTGGAGCAAGTGGTCGACCTCCATAGATTACGTTGGCTGGGACATGTGTTACGCATGTCACCAGATAGGTTACCTCGGACAGCGATATTCGCCGAGGCAGGTAGTTGGTGAAAAGATATCAAGGGTGGTCAACCTGAGACCTGGCACGAGGGTATGAAAACCCCAACCAGAGGTCTGGGTCAAATAGGTCCCGTTAGGCTTCCTGGCTGGGGACCTCGGAATGATCGTAACCGATGGTTAGATACACTGATTGCCGTAAACAGTGGCGTTCGTGCATCTCAATTTCTTAGCAACATTAATCCACTGAAATTCTAAATTTTGTCTTAGATCTTACTTTCAACCTTTCCTTTCTTTCTCTAAATGTTCATCCAAATGAGCATCCAAAACCGACGCACGATAGTGCATGGTTAATGGTTATACAAACTGAAACTAAAACAACTTACACAAGATCCTAGGTTTCTGGTCAAATGGTAACCTTTCCTTTTAACATCATAACCAGTTAGCCAGCAAATCTGCTTTTCATGTTGTTCACCTTATTCGAATGTCTTTCCATCACATTACCAACAAAGACTTTTCTTTCACTTATGTCATCTATATCAGTTCTCTTCAAGAAGATGGTAGTCAAGTTTTTTATTCCGGCCTGATCCGCGATCATAGTGCTGTTGAACGAGCTCAAGGAGCGGCAACAAAAGCGGTGGTTGGAATGCAACACCTACCCTACCCTGACCGACTAGTAGAGCTTGATCTGGGTCTTCTGGAAGTCAGGCGAACTAGGGGACTTATTTGTTCCACACCACCTGTTTTCCTCTGGCCTAGTAGATAAGTTCTTTACTCTAGCACCCGCGGGTGCAGCACGGGGTAATAGTAGAAAGATATACAAACCTCAACCTTCGC